AAAAGTCGTAGAAAGCGCGGCGACCCCTCATTTTGCTCAGAATTTTGCGTTCTTCAAGATAGCACTATTCAAAGCTGGCTCTGATAAATGCTTTTAGAACTTGAAAAATGTTGGTTTTTGTTTTTTAGGTCCTTTACTCTCTTAATTCATCGGTGAAGATATGGCTTATTATGCATTTTATAGAACAACTCATTATCTATCCAAATCACTATTTGTCTTTGAGATAGATGCGTGGTCTAGTAGAAAAAAAAACCCAAAAATATGCTGGTCTTATATTTTTGGCCAACACTGTATATATATATAATTTTATTGGAAACTATCAAAAATATGTTTATCAAAACTGGATCTATGCTTTTTACGTTATTGTTCAAAACTTATTTAAATTAAAGGAAATATTTTGTTTACAAATTGAACTATAATACATATGACAGATTATTATTTTTTTATTTCAATAATTAACAACGGTTCGATGAATTTTGTATTGGAATTGTGAGGAAGTGGCTCATGTTGTCAGAAGAGGTTCTTTTAATATGTTCTATTGAAAAATAGGTGAGGAAGTGATTCATAAATTTCTATGCATACTCATCTTACTCTCTTTTCATTAAAAATACTGATGCGTATAGATGGATCGATAATATAAGGAACTATATTTTGCGATATTGTTACATTATCAAATCATACTTTTACGGGATTTTTTTTTCATGCATCCTACATTATTTATGCACATTGAAAGAACGACAATATGGTTTTTTTGCTAAATAGTGTTCTACTAAGTTCGATAGAGATATTTTATGAGACCAGTTTTTTTTTCTTGTTAGTCAACAATCATAGAAAGAAATGAGTCATATTTACGATTAATATTTTTGTCTTTATTTTACTTTTTCAAAGTAAAATATGTTTAAATTCTTACAAATTAATATTGTTTTTGTAATCTAATATCATAGATTGATAATGATGCACTATCATTATCAATCTACGATAATAGACTATAAACTCAATAATTAATTAAAAGTATTATTATTTACTTTACTCTATTTAACTTAACTTAATATTTAATTAATAAGATTAAATTAGTTAATTTGATTAACTTTCTAAAGTAAAGATAAAGTTCTATCCATAAATATGTTCTACGTTTGCTCTATTGAAATTGAAAAGAAGAATTCTTATTTAAATAGAACTTGTCTATTAGACAAATGTATATAAATTATTTTAAATATATATCCATCCTTTCATTAGATCATGTAATCTATTGTTATAGTTATTTTTAGAATTCGCTCCTATATTCAGAAAAATTTTCAAAAGTATAAATATATATATATATATAGATTGTTTTAATTCGATCAGTGACATGATTTCACAAGTAAAATTAATAACTGTGCGTCCAATATCATCTGAATGTGAATATATCTGGATATATAAGACAAATGAAGATCTGTGGAATGGTAGTAAATCTATTGTGTGGATTCCTTATCCTTCTGATATATCATCAATATTGGAGAAAGCCTTTATAAGTGGTGTTGATCAGACATTTATTAGTAAACGAAATCGTATTGATTTCATAAAGTTTGTAGAAGAGTATATTGAAGGAGAAAAACGACAACGACCTATACGACGACGTTATTTTAAAGCATCGATGACCAATAACGGAATAAGTGAAGATGAAACAGCTCATGATGAAAGATTATCGTTTCCGTTGAGTATTAATGGAAAAACTAGTACAACTATAGATACAACATATCATGGTTCACTATTTATAACAGATTGGTTATTATTATTTACTCAAGGTAAATTTGATGTGACATTTGATAATATATTTCCTGTTCTTATTAATGGATTGATACATGAAGGACGTTATCAACCAAATAAAACAGTTAAAGAAATAATTGATGCTTTGAACTTGGTCAAATATGAAAATTTTAATAAGAACGATAGAAAAAAAATGAAAATGTTACAAGATTGTTGTGCTAAACTGTATACAAAACAATGTTTTCTATTTCGTATTGTTAATACAGCATTACGAGATGATGATAGAACTAAACTTGAAACATTAGGTCCATATTGTTATCTTGTTTATAATTATATTGGTCGAGATATAAATGAGAATTTATCAATTCGTCGTTGTATTTCACAAATAATTCATCGAAGTATATCTCAATCTATAATTGTCTATCGTGGTGATAATATTTATCATGAAAAAATCGAAGAATATAAACAAGCAATTGGAAAAAAAAAATATTTTAAATGGCTTCCATTTGTTTCAACTTCACTTAAACGTTATGTTGCTGAAACATTTGGATTGAATGTTTTATATATAATTGAACTAGGACCTTATCTATCTTATGATCAATTTACATATTTGAATAAAAATACATTTATTCAATGTGAACAAGAAATACTATTGAGACCTGGAGCTCGATTTCGTATTATCAAATTAGAATTTGATCATATTTCACAACGACATTTGATTTATATCAAGATAATTCCATCATATATATCTTATTTGAGATAATATGATCATATTATAGAAATTTTTCAAAAGACTTTGTTTTGTTTTTTTTTACACAAAATAAAAGTTCTTATAACATTATTCCATTTTTTCACTTCATCTAATTAAATAACTAAATAATTCTACTACATTGAATATAACTTTCCTATATACTTATACTTACTTTTAATAGTGTCACTTACATTTTTCACTCATTTATTAATATGTAGTTAGTAACAGATATAATATACTTCACAAAAACAAGTAGAAATGTGCGTCTATTGTTTCAACAATAATTTAGAATTTATCACATTTATAGAGTGGTTACAACTAGTTATTACAATGATCGATGTTAGGAATATAATGAAATTTTGGAAGCGAACACATTTTGATCTAAAGACGAAAGGTGTCAGTATGGATGTATATGTGTGTATCAATAATCTCCTAATCTACACCCATACCCACACTGACACTCCAGCAATGCTTATGGCCACAATCACTCATACAATAGTTGAATTTAAAAAGAAACGTTTCTAATCACATTCTGTTACTATAACATCAGGAATTTGTAATTTTATTCAACTGCTCTCATTCTAATACATATATATATAGTCAATTATTTTGGTTTATCTCAATCCATCTCCAATGTATATTAAAATATCATTCCTCGAATATTGTTTCATTGTCTAACTAACCAACAGACAAATTTTAAAGCATTATTATCTGCTGTTAAGAAATGTTTAGTGTCCAGTTCATTCTTTCTTATGTACATTGGACAAATACAAACAATCTATAGAAAAAAACTGTCTCTCGATTAGACTCTTTATTTCACTCTTCTTCATAATATTTTCTTGAAATTTAATATATAGAATTATTATCATACAATCAAGTAAGAACATTGTGATCATTGTCAATTATATTTTTTTTTTAATGAAGCTTGATTAGAAACTATTATCACATTGAACAATTGTTATTCTTATTACGAAAGAATTATTCCTAGTTGTAAATCGCTTTTTTCTCAATACATTCAAGACTATACTTAGTTCATTGTGTAGATTTCAAATATCAAAATCCTAATGACTCTTAGGCTCTTCTATATTCAATATGTTAACTAGTAAATCCTTTTTACAACCGTATTCCTCATCAAACTCAATTTCTAATTCATCGATCATCTGTCAATAGATAAAATATTCACTGAAGTAATTTTTACAGACATTTTAACCTTATTTATTCAATTATTAAAATGAACGATTAGATAAACAAAGATAATATTTAGAAAATATTCTTATTTTATATTAATCTTATCCGTTTGATAAAAAGATAGAAAGAAATAGAAATAGTATATCTCATATAGAACATTTGTTATTATTGTCTGTCTAACGATGCATTTAAATAATTGAAAAATAATGATAAAATATCTTCAACAGAAAAATTACTCTTGTGAATATATTGTCTAGTGATATTATGTTAGACTAATTCGAAACTGAGTTTTATGAACAGAAAGTTTGTCATAAATCAACTGCATACAGTTTTGTGTGTTTCAATGTAAAAGCGACTTATGATTTGATTGTTTTCTCTCGTTAGAAGTATTTCAAAGTGTAAAAATCAAAGGCTAGTCATGGAAAAGATAGGAACTTAAATACAAGAAAAGATTTGTGTCTTATCAATAATAAGAAAATAGATAAGAATTGTTCAAAGTTAATCTACTTGTTCACTATACTGTCAAGATACGAAACCTCTTATAAAGCTATTTATCGATCGATATTAATTATCATAACTCAAGAATGTTCGTCATCTTGGTTTCCATCAAGTTCATTGATTCTCATCAGATTTAATTAATTATATTTTTCTTTGTTATTAATTAATCATGAACAGTTCATGTGTAAATAAATCTATTAATTTTGACTCATATTGATAGGTTACATTGGTAACGCTCGTCCGTGTGACTCGCTTAACCCTCGACTGAATATTCGCCTCCTCTAGTGTTATATACTGCTTTACAATCTTCAACAAAGTTAGTATCCAACGTTTCAAAAGGGTGGATAGGTGTGTAGAAGTTGATTTTAGCATCAACTTCCTTATCCACAATGGTATGCGGGTCTATGTGATCATTTTTGTTAGAAATTCACCTAATCAAACTGATATCCACACATTAATACTCAACTGAAATCTAAATGAACTACACTACGACAGCAGTATCTGTACGCATAAAAGAAAAAGATTATATTTAATTTTTTGAGAGGTCACGAAGCAAAACGCCTTCCTGACACCATTGTGAAAACGCATCATACTTTTAAAAATTCTACTGGAAACCCATATGGTTATCAGCACATCTGCTTACAATGTTGTTTACCCAGGTCAAGAAATCCGACCATTGAATTTTGTCGGATTCTATCGGATTGAGTCCAGAATCCAGTGATCCGAAATCCGACAGACATCTAACTGGAAAAGGATCTTATCGGATTCTGCAACGAAAATTAACAGATCCGACAGAATCTAATCAGATATTAATCATTAGGCTTCAGTGGTTGTTCTTTTTCCGATTCACTACCGTCTGTTAAATATATAATAAATATTAAGATTTCTGTCTACAATGGTAAAAAGTCCATTGTCTGCCCGCAAACGCGAGAGAAACCCAGATACAGTCATTAAACACAGTGCAAAGATATTAATAATCCGTAAACTATACTCTTACACCCATACCCCATATGCCTATATCCTTATCACTATAATCTTCAACTGGCACAGGGATGGTTATAATCTTAGTTTCGTAGACCTATAGATGAAGGTAAAAGTTTTAATACTTGCTAGAAATTCTTTTTCTTCTCTGTTATTATAAACTCTTGAATGTTCTAAGTAGGATAGAAAATATTTTGCAGCTAAATGAATTGGATCCTAAATGTTCATAAGCCCAGCACTACCTTAAGAAAAATGATATGGCTCATACTATAGAGAAGATTCTGTTCACATCACCGAAAAATACATAGTAGTGAAGACTTGCATGAAACCATGGAAAAAGAGTGGAAAGGAAGACAATGAAAGGAGAAAATATTGGCAGAATACAGTTGAATTTATTATGTCAAAAGATTAATTGGATATCTGTAATACGCTGGTGGAAACGTGCTCATCTCTAATTGGCTGTCTGTAAAAGGATGATTGTTACTGATTAACGATTTTTCATTTCGATGAATTTTTTCATATGGAAGACACTCAAGTTGTAATGGTGCTGAAGCTGGATGAGTTCGACGCTGTGAAAGATTCTAGTGTGCTATTAATAGTGATGGTTCTTCAACCAATAGAAAACTACTATAATAAGATGAAAATATAAATTATTGTATTGTTTGATATTGTATTTATGATAAAAACTTACTATTCTAGGTATTTCCTTATATATAAGAAATTCTATTAGGTCACACAAAAAGGGCTTCTCTATAGTACCAGCTATATATATTCCCTAGTGATAGGGATAGAGGTTTGAATTTTTAGGGTTTTATTCGTGTGGTTGCAAAATATTTTATTTCATAATTAGAGCCTTTTCAGATCTGTAATAAAAGAGACGAAGACATTTTTTATCAAGTACCTACGTTTTTGTCTCACTCTATAACTAATACGAGAGAACATCAACCCTCAGTTGAAAGAAAAACGAATGAAGAAAAAAAGCTTGCCATATAATTAATAATCGGTAGAGAAGAATTGTTGCCAAATAATTTTGATGCCTCAGATAAAGCACACGAGTGCAAATAATAGAAGAATACCATAACGAAAAGAGACCACTGATCAGTATTCTGTACATTGATACAGTTAAAATCTTATGATATGAGAAATTATTTTTGCCTAAATAACTCTTGCTCATGTACACTGCTCATATAGAAAGTATTTTATGCCTATTTATTATTAATTGGGCGTTCAAGTCTTGTACTCAATTCAATGTTTATAATACTAATCTTGTGCAACACTCTAATCGATTTGGTGCTTTCATTATTATTGAAGTAGCGAGTTAAATATTAAGCATGAAAAATCATTCTGCTCATTCATCAGCATGCCTGAGCTTATTTTTTTCGTTGGAATCTAAAAAACATTCAATTAGTAATAAATTTATATGTAAAACATATGTTCCACTGCAACTCGACGACTAACTTCTCGAAACTTGATGGAACCGACTGAACTCCGATAAATGAATCCTATCAGAACTATCCTTCGGATTTCATCGGAATCCGGTAATCGGAATGCGTCGGAAATTATGAAAATTAATTGAGATCCGATCGAATTCCGATGGTTCATTGTCGACCTGGATTATTGTTTTCAATTCTTCATATTTGAATAATGATTGTCTAATTGGCACATTTGTGCTGTATATATGAAAAAGTTTAGACCGATTTCGAATAATTTGTACACTTTTTTTCCAATTATGTCATTTATCTTCTTTGGTTTGTTGATTTATTTTCGTCATTTGATCGTCGGTGTCTAATTAAGAACATTTTTTCATGTTGCCCTCGATCGTAATAGTGGCTTCGTCTTATAACATAAGTAAGAATGCGTTTTGTGGACAGACAAGGGTCATATGAAGTGAGCCAAAGTTGGCGTAAGCCTAAGTGGAGTCCATTAGTCCATACTATACCCATTTCAAATATATGGTACTCTGATACCGGAAGTGCCATTCCCATAACAGAACAACAATACTCACAACCCGGAAGTACCATTCCCATAACAGAACAATAATAC